AGACCTAAACGTAAGACAGGAAGCCATCAAAATCCTCGAGGAGAAAGCAGGCAAAAACCTCTTTGACCTAGGCCGTAGCAACTTCTTACTCAACACATCTCCGGAGGCAAGGGAAACAAAAGCAAAAATGAACTACTGGGACCTCATCAAAATAAAAAGCTTCTGCACAGCAAAGGAAACAAATAGCAAAACTAAAAGGTAACCGACGGAATGGGAGAAGATGTTTGCAAACAACATACAAGATAAAGGGTTAGTAACCATAATCTATAAAGAACTTAACAAACTCAACACCCAAAAAACAAATAATCCAGTGAAGAGATGGGCAAAAGACATGAATAGACACTTTTCCAAAGAAGACATCCAGATGGCCAACTGACACATGAAAAAATGCTCAATGTCACTCATCATCAGGGAAATATAAATAAAAACCGCCATGAGATACCACCTCACACCTGTCAGAATGGCTAACATTAACAACTCAGGCAACAACCGATGTTGGCAAGGATATGGAGAAAGAGGATCTCTTTTGCACTGCCGGTGGGAACGCAAACTGGTGCAGCCATTCTGGAAAACAGGATGGAGGTTCCTCAACAAATTAAAAATAGAACTACCCTGTGACCCAGCAATTGCACTACTAGGTATTTATCCAAGGGATACAGGTGTGCTGTTTTGAAGGGGCACACGTACCCCAATGTTTATAGCAGCACTATCAACGATGGCCAAAGTATGGAAAGAGCCCATATGTCCCTTGACAGACAAATGGATAAAGAAGATGTGGTCTATATATATACAATGCAGTATTACCCAGCAATCAAAAAGAATGAAATCTTGCCATTTGCAACTACGTGAATGGAACCTAGAGGGTATTATGCTAAGCAAAATTAATCAGTCAGAGAAAAACAAATATCTTTTGACTTCACTCACATGAGGACTTTAAGATACAAAACGGATGACCATAAGGAAAGGGAAGCAAAGATAATATAAAAACAGGGAGGAGGACAAAACATGAGACTCTTAAATTTACAGAACAAACAGAGGGTTACTGGAGGGGTTGTGGGTGGGGGGGTGGGCTAAATGGGTAAGGGGCATTAAGGAATCTCCTGAAATCGTTGTTGCACTATATACTAACTAACTTGGAAGTAAGTTAAAAAATAAATAAATTATTTAAAAAATTATAATGGTTGGAACTGATTTTTAAAAGTTCCTTGAGCTTTTTGAAAATGCTTTTTAGAAATGCTTTTTAAAGAGCACTTTAAAGATTATTCTTAGATTAAATATTTAAATACATATATATACACACACACACACACACACACATTTTGTTGTTGTTACATTTATTTATTTTTGAGAGAGAAGCAGAGATAAAGGGGGACAGAGAATGAGAGGGGGAGGTTCAGAGAAAGAGAGAGATATCAGAATTCAAAGCAGGCGCCAGGCACGAGCCTGACACGGGGCTCAAACTCATGAACCATGAGATCATGACCTGAGCCAAAGTTGGACGCTTAACTGACTGAGCCACCCAGGAGCCCCTTAGACTTAAATATTTAAAATGTGCAACTTGATCATTACTTTGAGGGACTGAAATTATTTTGATTTAATATGTTTATATATCTGAGTATATATATAGTTATCTGCTAGTGTGGATACACTTAGAACTGTAAGTAATTTAAACTTTAATGTAGTAAAAGCATGCTATATCTTGTGTTCATTACTCTTTCTACCTATCACTTTCTACCTATCACTTTGCTTGAGTACTAAGAATTTGGTAAATCTTTCTTATGACAATTCTGATGGAAAGTCACTTAATTGCACTTATTGAAGTAAAGCATCTTTTTTTTTCTTTTTTTTAAGGTTGGTTGTTGAAGGTACCAGTGGAATAGATAATCATACACCTACAAGCACTCTAGTTCAAAACTCATGCTGTTCATATGTAGTTAATGGAGACAACACACCTTCATCTCCGTCTCAGGTTGCTGCCAGACCCAAAAATACACCAGCTCCAAAACCACTCACATCTGAGCCTGCCAATGACACTGGTAAGTATGGTGATTTATGACTCATTGTTTAAATGGAAACTAAATTAAACTTTATCTATGCCTACACTTCTCTTACTGTACTATCTTTCTTAATCTTCAGTTATGCGATAGGACTCTAAAGATCTAAATAACTGAAATCTTTCCTAATGTTTTGAATTTTTCTAGATTATTTAGGAGGATATTCCAAATATTTATTTAGTTTAGAAATAACAATACATTTCATTGGGGCGCCTGGGCAACTCAGTTAGTTAAGCATCTGAATTTGGCTCAGGTCATGATCTCGCGGTCCATGAGTTTGAGCCCCACATCGGGCTCTGTGATGACAGCTCGGAGCCTGGAGCCTATTTCAGATTCTGTGTCTCCCTCTCTCTATGCCCCTGTCCCCACTCACAGTCTCTCTCTCTCTCTCTCTCAAAAATAAATAAACATTAAAAAAATTAAAAAAAAATAACAATACATTTCACTAAGCGTGTACTTATAGATTCTTAGGCTTTATGCCACATGCAAAAAAAGTTAATTATATAATATTTCTAAAAGAACTTTTGTGAGTTTATTAATTTGTTAGTAATAAGTGGTTTCTCTTGGGGGTGGAGAGAGGAAGGGAGTGGGGGGGAGAGACAGAGGGAGAGAGGGAGGGAGGGAGAGAGGGAGAGAGAGAGACAGAATGAGAAAGAGAGAATGAATCCCAAGCAGGCTCCACACTATGAGTGCAGAGCCTGATGCAGGGCTCAAGCTCATGAACCATGAGATCATGACCTGAGCCAAAATCAAGAATCAGACACCTAACTGACTGAGCAACCCAGGTGCCCCAATAAATGGTTTCTTTAACCTGTCTTCAGTACACAAATAATTTATTTCTTTGTATTACAAGTTGTTAGAAAAATGTAGTTTGAGCTGATAGAGCTCTCAGAAAGTTCTATATTTTTCAGGAGTATTCTTCCATTACAGAAGGAATGCCTATGGAAGATTTTTTTCTATAATCCTGTATTCCAATGGACTCAGCTGTAAAAATTCATAAGTAATTTTCTTGTTTCATCTTTATATATTCTTTTAGATGAATCTCTTCAAACTCAAACATCTTAAGGTTGATTATGTTTGGGAGCTAGAGTTTTAATACTGGTCTTTTATTTCCAGAGTCTATATTTTTTCCTGTGTTTTGTGTATCTATGGGAAAGTATTCAAAAGTAGAAAAAAGTAAAGAATCAATTCAGGAATTGAATGAAAATACATGGGATTATAGATAAGACAACTGTATATTTATACCCAGGATTGGAGGGAGACTTACTCTGCTCTATCTTGAGAGTTTTTGTAAACATGGGAATTGACCTCTGAATGTTTTTTGTTTTTTTTTAAATTTTTGTCTATTTTTGAAAGAGAGAGAGAGAGAGAGAGTGAGCACTGGAGGGGCAGAGAGAGAACTTGAAGTAGGCTCCAGGCTCCGAGCTGTCAGCACAGTACCCAATGCAGGGTCCAAACTCACAAACTATGAGATAGGACCTGTGCTGAAGTCAGACGCTTGCTGATTGAGCCACCCAGGTGCCCCTCTGAATTTTTTTGTTTAATATAATTTCTTGTCAAATTGGTTTCCATACAACACCCAGTGCTCATCCCAACAAGTGCCCTCCTCCTTGCCATCACCCACTTTCCCCTCTCCCCTACCCCCCATCTATCCTTAGTTTGTTCTCCGTCCTTAAGAGTCTCTTATGGTTTGCCTCCCTCCTCTCTGTTACTTTTTCTCCCCCCCCTTCCTCTCCCCCATGGTCTTCTGTTAAGTTTCTCAAGATCCACATATGAGTGAAAACATATGGTATCTGTCTTTCTCTGACTGACCTATTTCACTTAACATAAATGCTCCAATTCCATCCATGTTGCTGCAAATGGCCAGATTTCATTTTGTTTCATTGCCAAGTAGTATTCCATTGTATATATAAACCACATCT